GCCCTCCCAGCTGAGGAGATGGAAAAATCCAAGTATAACAGATAAGAGGGAGCGTTTCAAAAGAAAAGGGGGACTTGAAAATATTCTAGACTAGGGGGAGGAAGGGCGAGCGGGCGGAAAGAAACAATGCCCAACACACAGGAGGGGCTCAACAAACATTTGTGGAAAAGGAATCGCTCTGCGGGAGTCACAGAGGTGCCCTTCAGAAGCCCGTATACACAGGAGAAAAGAAATCCTATCTAGGCAGTTGTTTGTCCCCGGAGTCCCCATCCCTCCCTCATTCCCCAGCCCCGTGGCCTGCGCGCTTCCAGCTCGACTCCAGCCTGGGGCTCTTTCCCGACCCCCGGCTCCCAGTCCAGCCCCCAGGGTAAACGCGCCTCTCCCGAGCACATCTCCGAGGGACTGGGCCAAAGCTTTGGGGCCTGCACTCCTCCAAAAAGAGGGCCTCAGAGACCGGAGGTTCATCTCAACCCCCGCGTTCGAGCCCGGGCCTGTGGAAAGTGCCCTCCCCTCGGCCTCGGCACCGCGGGGGACTGGCGGGAGGAGTCAGGGAGGCTGGTGGGACACCTCGCATCAGGCCGCGCACCTACTGGGGCTCCCGGGCCAAGGGAGCAGGCGGAGAGCCGAGGCGGGTCCCGCCTCCTCCGTGCGCCCGGGCCAGGGCCAGGGCCGGGCCGGGGGCTCGGCCCGCTCAGCCAATGGGCGCCGCGCTCGGGCCCCCTCCCCCGCACCAGGAGGAGCCGGCAACCGGCAGCCGCCGCCGAGGTCGTGTGCGACGTGCCGCGCCCGGGCCCTGTGTCCCCGGTCCCGGCCCGGGCCGCGTGAACGGCTCGGAGCCCCCGGAAGGAAGCCTTGTGCTCAATACTGGCGCCAAATACGCACGCGGCGCCCTCCGGCCCGCTAGATCCGAGCCCATCCCCACCGCGGCCAGCGGCCCGGCGGGGCGCTGCGATAGCGACCCGCGCGGAGCCAGGCTCCGAGAGGCGCGCGGCCCACCCCGGGCGCAGAGCGCGGCGGGGCGGCAGGGGAGGCACTGGCCAGCGGAGGGGCGGGCAGGAGTCCGCGCCTTTGTTCCTGCTGCAGGGCCGGCGGGTGCGCGACTCACCTTGCTGCTGGGCTCCATGGCAGCGCTGCGCTGGTGGCTCTGGCAGTGCCGGGTGCGCGGGTGGCTACGGGCGGGCGGGCGGCGCTCTCCGGCTCAGACTCGTGCTCCGGTCCCGGGACTCCCGCTGCGACTCTGACTCCGAGTCCGGTAGCTTGGTCTCCCGCTCTCGGGAACGCTCACTCGGGACCTGCAACCAGTGACCGCCACGCTTACTGGTGCTACCTCTTGCCTCTTGCGGGAGAGAGCGCGGATCGTGGCGTTTATAGGACACCGGCCATTGGCTGCCGACGCCGGTGTGTCGGGGGGGTGGGTTGTGGGTAGGACCTCGGGGCGGGGCCTAGGGCCCAGCCTGTCCTGGGCGGTGCGCGGGGAGGGGGCGAGGGGAGGGGCCGGGGGCGGGGGCGGGGGCGGGCGCGGGCGCGGGCGCGGGCGCGGGAGGGCCCCTAACCACCCCCTGCTCTGGCTGACGATCGACCCGCTCTCAGTGCGTTGGGACCATGGTGGGCGTTCGCTGTGTGACTCAGGGCCAGTGTGCACGCCTCTCTGAGCCTCCGCGGACTTCTTCTCTAGCAAAATGGTGGAGCCGGTACCCGGCTGTAAGGCAAGCTGGGAGGCGCGGAGTAGCGGGTGGAGAGCTGGACTGGAGTTCTCACTCGGCCGCTGGGTGACTTCGGTGCACTAGAGATACTAACAGTACCGCCTCATGGGGTTGTAGGAGGACTAAATGGGATAATATTTGTAAAGTGTTTAGAACAGCGTCTACTGCGTGGAAAGTAGTATTTATTTGTTAGAGAGACTTCAGGAGGTCTTGCTCAGTGATTGACTTCTCCCTTCCCTGTCTCCACCCCCCACATTCCCGTTTGTGAGCCAAGCCTTGCTTTTGCACTGGCCAGACTCTCTGCCTGGAAATGCATACCCATCTCAAACCTGGGCTTTAAAACCTCCTCCTCTGGGACGCTTTCCTCTTCTTCTCACAGTTCAGGTGAATCTGTGGTGTCCTGTAAGTGTGGGAAATATGAAAGGCAGTTTAACTGACGTTAAGGACAGGAGAGACCTCGGGTTTGAACCAACTCAACTGTATACTAGCCCGGCCGCGATTCTGGGCGAGTTCCTGGCCAATGAGGCTCAGTTTTCTTATGAGTAAAATGAAATTCTTCACAGCAATCTCATTGCTATCATGAGAGGTGCAATTTCCAGATAAGCTCATGAAGTGTTTAGCATGGAAGTTCTCATTTACTGGTTGGTGATATTGTTGGATTATTTATTTGTTTTGTTAGTAAATAAATAAATGCTGGTCTCGAACTTCTGGGCTCAAGTGGTCCTCCCACCTTGGCCTCCACAGTAGCTGGGAGTGCAGGCATGTGCCGCTGCACTGGGAGTGGTCTTGTTATCATCTGACCTTCACCTACTTTCCTCTAGACCAGGGCCTTACGTGAGACACAGTGAAGGAAAAGACCCCCAGTCCCAAGGTCTGACCAAAGTCGAGGATCTCTTTCCCTGTGGAGGGAGTCATGGTGGTCTTACTGTCTGTTGGAAACCACGAGGCTGAACCGACCAGATGACCCCTGGAGTTCTCTAGCCATGTGTCCAGTTCTGGCTGAGGGACACCTTGATTGGGTATGGAGCCCTGAAACAGAAGACAGGCGCATTCTGAACACACCCCTGTCCAAGGCTACAGTTCCTGTGGTCCCTTGATTCTCAGGCTGGGAAGCTTGGGGCCACATCTCTCCTCTCTCCTCACGCCTGGGCAGCCCATCAAGTCCTGTTAACTCCGCTGTCTACACCACCTCATCTTCCTTCCCTCCCCAGCTGTCTGCAGGGCCTCCATCTCTAGTCTTTTGTCCTCCAGTCCTGCACCCTGCCACTCTCCTGCTTCTCTGTCTGACATTGTCATGGAGGGAGTAAGGGCCAAGCCTGGCCATCAAGGTCCTTCTTTGGGGCACCAGTTTACATGCTCAGCCTCGCCCCTCACAGCAGCAACTCACATCCACACCTTTGCTCAGCTTGTCTCTTCTGCCAGGGAAGCCCTCCCCAACCTCAGCATGCCAGAAAGCACCATGGGTCCTTCCTCCTCCAGGAAGTGTCCCTGATTCTCCCAAGTGGAAATCTTTCTCTCCTTTACCATTTGGTGTTTCGTAGGTTGCCACTTTTCCTCTCTCTGTCTTCCCTCAGCCTGTGAGCACCTCACGGACAGCTTCTGCAGCTGAGGACCTGGTGAATGACTGAAGGAGGAAGGAATGCACGAATGAGTGAGCAGCTAGTCTAGCTGTCGCTGATGTTTCTTCCACTCTAGTCTTCCTGCTGATACTTCGAGTCTTTCCATAAGTACCTTTTGAGTTTTGCTACTTCCCTACTCAAAGTCTCTCCACAGCTCCCTGTTTCTTAGCGCGTCTAGTCGACTGTCTATGCCTTTTCCCAGTGGTGGGTCTGCCTCACTCAACCCATGGGTCACACTCACCAAACAGCCACCTTGTCCTTCTCTAGGCCAGCCCCATGCTGGCCACTTTCCCAGGGACAGAGACATGCAACCCCATTGACACCCTCATGGAGGCCCCATACTGGTGGAGGAGGAAGAGGGGAGATAAGCAGCAACAATACCAAGTCAAGTGTAGAGGGTTAAGAATCTGTACAAGAGCAGAGCTTGTACGGCAGGGGAAGGAGAGGAAGTAGAGAGAGCATCTGGGAAGGGGGAGGTCATGCTAAGCAGGGTTTGGAAGGCTGAGTAGGAGTTCACCAGATGGATCAGAGGGAAGGGCATTCTGAGCAGAGGGAAGAGCATGTGCCAAGGCAGCAGACTGCCAGAATGATTACCTAAGGGACTTAAGAATCTCTGAGCCACTCTTAGAGATTGATGGTGGAGCGGAGATCAGGACTCTGGAGTCTCAGCTCTGCTATTTATTTGCAAACATTCATGGGCAAATAATGCCTTCTCTTCTCTGAGCCTGAAGACCCACGTCTGTAAAAACAGATATAACAAACTTCTTGGGTAGGCCTGAGAGAAAGTGAATGTTTATAAAGGCTTAGCCACATAAACTGTACTAGTTATTGACTGAGAACTTAAGTCAAATCCCCATCCCATGGTAGGGTGGTGCTTGAGGACAAAGCAGAGTGGCCAGAAAAAAAGCCTTCCCTTCGCCCACCCAACCCCACCTTCCCACACACAGACCCCCATTAACTGCTCGAAATTCTACTTCTCTGTGTTCCACTCTGAATGTTTTAGGACCCCTGGAGGCTACTGGTCAGAAGCAAATTCATCAGAAGCTATTGACACTGCATCAGAGATTAGATTTTCTGGTGGACTTGTTTGTTATTTGGGTGGCTGAGTCCTTGGAAGCAGAATTTAACTCTATCTAGGGAAGGAGCTTAGAGAAGGTCCCAGGAAACAGCATCTGAGCACAGACAGTTTAGGTTCAGGGAAAAAGGGGAGCAGGAGGGGCAGCTATGTAGCCCCTGAGGCTGGAGTGTGGGGGCTTAGGGAGGAGAAGAAACTGAAGAGGTGGAATCACAGTCAAATGTCAGGTATAGGCATGAGGGCTTTATGCAGTGGGCAGTGGGGAGCCATGGAGAGTTATTGAGCAGGGGGAAGGACCTGAGGAAACCTCAGTGTCCCCACAAAAGGAGGTGTGAGGAGGCTGTGGAGCCCCAGCATTCAGCTTCAATGAGCTAGTGTCCCTTCCCTAGTCTGTGCCCACACTGGCAGCTTTGTTCCCTGGAGGCTGCCTTTAGTCCTGGACGGAACTCGGCCTCTTCTAGGTCCGATTCTAAGCAATTCCAGCCCCAGCCAGTCTGAAGGAAAAGAGCTCTCTGGGACTGGCTGGCAGGAAGGTGCCAGGTGACAGGCAGATGCTGGAGCCTGGTGCGTGCCTCTGAGCACGCAAGTGGGCGGGGGAGGGGTGGTGGTGGTGGCAGGGCGGTGCAGGGCGGGTCCTAGCAGCTCCACAGTTAGGAGTGAGTAAGGCGGGCTGGGAAAAGACTCTCTTGCCTTTAAAGGCAAGCATCCCTGGCTGCCAGGAGGAAAGGTTTGGCTGAGTCAGCTGCAGCTGGTACAAGGGGGGATGGCAGGGGCCGGGACAGGAGAGCCCCTAATCCGAAGGATGTTTTGCAACTCAAATCCTCCTGGATTGCAGGTAAACAGGGTGATGAATTCCAGGAAGGCCTCATGGGCCAGGCAGGAGAGTTGTGTGTTTAGTATTTTCATTCCGATTTGCACACCTGCTTGAACCACCTGCTCCCAGAAAGCTTTTCAGCATCCCTTCTTTATCTTCTGTATGCCCCTCCTTGACCCTCTGCAAACGCTCTTATCAGGGCTACCACCTGTTCACTGATGCTGGTGGAATTGAAGGGGCATATTCCCCTCCCTTCTCTCTCTCCTGAGTACCAGGCTTTTCTGTCTAGCTGCCTCCCGGACAGAGCTCTGAATGTCCCACACTCACCATGCTCAAATCTGAACTAATTGTTTTCCCCCATCCCTTCCTGTCCCAGTCCTAGAGATGGCTCCTCTAGCCACCAAATTGCCCTAGCCAGAGATCTGGTTTCTTCCCTGACCCTTCTCTGTCTCCCTCATTTCCCACATCCAGTCAATCCCATGAACTCTGCCTGCTGTCTCCATGCGGACAGTCCCTCCTCCAGCATAGGCTAGGGCCACTGTTCATTCATCCTCCTCTCTGCCATCACAGTGATCTCTTTAAAATGCACAGCTGACCACATCATTGCTTTGTTTAAATATCTTTCCATGGCATGCAATAATGTGGCTGAGTCTCACAGACATCATACTGAGTGACAGCAGCTGTGAAGAGTGTGATTTCATGTGTATAAAGTTTAAAAACAGGCAAAACTTATCTCTGGGATTAGAAGTCTGGACAGTAGTTACCCTTGGAAGGAAGGGTTGTGACTCTGAGGGCGGGGTGCTGGTAATCAGGGTGAGGCAGGTGGAGACCAGATCAGCAGTACTGATGTTTTAAAATATGACTCAGCATAACATGTCACTAATCCTGTCTTTATTGAAAATTTTGATATTTTATCATCATGGGTTTCTTTGCATTAATTCTGATTTTTCAGAAATACTGCATTAAAAATATTATTTATCCTGATGATAGAGCCTGCTGCCCCCCTCCACCCCTGCTTAAATTTTACAGGGGAGGTGAGTGCCTTTCTTGTCACAGCCGATTTCCGACCATGTTGGTAATGTTTTCTCGTCAGGGTGCTGGTTGTGGGTGTGTTTACTTTGTGAAAATTCATTGAGCTGTGTACATTTCCGATTTTTGTACTCTTCTGTGTTCATCCTTTGCTTCAATTTAAAACATTTTTTTTTTTAAACTTAAAATACTTCTGTGATTCCAAGACAATGTCTCCATCTGTTTCTTCCAGTGTCCCCAGCACCAAAAACAGCACTTGGTTCACACTGGGTCTCATACATTTGAAGGAATACAGTATTTCAGTTAATTTAATTCTGACAGCAACTCTATGAAATGAGGTGTTTTTCTCTCTGTTTTCTTTTTTTTTTTTTAGACGGAGTCTTGCTGTGTCGCCCAGGATGGAATGCAGTGGCTTGATCTCGGCTCAGCACAACCTCTGCCTCCTGGAATCAAGTGATTCTTCTGTTTCAGCCTCCTGAGTAGCTGGGATTACAGGCACACACCATCCTGCCTGGCTAATTTTTGTATTTTTAGTACAGACAGAGTTTCACCATGTTGGTTGGGCTGGTCTCAACCTTGTGATCTGCCCTCATCAGCCTCCCAAAGTGCTGGGATTACAGGCGTAAGCCACCGCGCCCGGCCTTTCTCTCTGTTTTCTAAAGCAGAAAACTGAGGCTCAGGGGAAGTAATTTGCCCCAAATCACACAGGTAGTAAGTGTGAGTTCCAGCACCTGGATTGAAAAAAATAAATGGAGCCGGGTGTGGTGGTACACGCCTGCAGCCGCAGCTGCTCAACAGGTTGAGGCAGGAGGATTGCTTGAGCTCTAAAGTTCAAGTCCAGCCTGGGCAACATGGTGAGATGCCATCTCTAAAGATAAAATAAAAAATAAATAAATAAAATAAAAATGGATGTCTGGGCGCGGTGGCTCACGCCTGTAATCCCAGCACTTTGGGAGGCCGAGGCGGGTGGATCACGAGGTCAAGAGATCAAGACCATCCTGGTCAACATGGTGAAACTACTAAAAATACAAAAAATTAGCTGGGCGTGGTGGCGCGTGCCTGTAATCCCAGCTACTCAGGAGGCTGAGGCAGGAGAATTGCCTGAACCCAGGAGGCCGAGGTTGCGATGAGCCAAGATCGTGTCATTGCACTCCAGCCTGGGTAACAAGAGCGAAACTCCGCCTCAAAAAAAAAAGGATGACTTGACTGCAAAGAAACTTTACAAATCAAATGCTGCCAGATTCTCTGCCTTTAAAGAAAGCCACAAAAACAACAAAAACTCCAACCAGCACTGCCTGCTCTAATCCAACACCAGCACAAGCAGTTTGCTTTGCCCGGCTCTTATCTCTTAGATTATAATTATTTGAGCCTTATCTTCCTCTTAGATAATAACCTCCTCTAGGGCTAGGGCTCAGGTATTTCTGTCTTCCCTTTGTCCAGCAAGTTATTTGGCACAAGAAGAAAGCTATAAATGTTTAATAAATGAATGAGTCAAAGAATGAATGAAGGAGGAGGCTGACAGTGGCATGTGGTGGCAGACCACAGGTTTTGGAAACAGACCTGCTAGCTATGTGTCTTTGGACATGTTACCTCACCTGAGTCTCAGTTTCCCCAACTGTAAGATGGGGATAATAGCAGTACTCACCTCTAAGGTGTACATTATTGTGTGTATGAAGTAAGGAAATGTGTCTCAGGTGACTATCCTACAATAAATATTTGAAACGTGGTAACTATTATTATTTTCAGTGTTTTACATTCTCACAGCCTGATTTACTTCAGGGTTGCAAGGATCTTCCCCTTTCAATTTCCATGTACTGTTTTCTGGAGGCCTCTGTGGTTGGAAGGAGAGGACCTGATGATGCCTCCTCCAGGAGCTTTCTTTCCCCTGGGGAGGGCGGAACGCTGGAACAGTCCAGAAGTCTGGCTTCATGGCCCAGCTCCACCTTGCCAGTGGTGCCATCTTTGTTGAGTTGCTTAATACCTGTGAGCCTCAGTTTTCTCCCTGTAAAATAAGGCCCAGAATAATCTTTTTTTTTTTTTTTAAATACCCCAAGTTGACCTTGGGGATCTCTGGGGAAGATTCAATAGTTTGGCCCTGGGCCTAGTGCACGGTAAGCCTTCCACAGGTGTTGAGTCTGAGGAATGAACCTGGCACCCTGAGGGTGAGGGAACAGCAAGAAGACCAGAGGGACCCTCAGAAGTCCAAGGACTGATGGGAAAAACAAACAGCCTGGCGTAGTTCTGTTTTATTCTTAGGATCGTATTTCTCCAAAGAAGTGGAATGATGATGCCTTTCGTGCCAATATAGCTCACTCACTTATTTCTTTCTTTCTTTTTTTTTTTTTGAGATGGAGTCTCGCTCTGTTGCCCAGGGTGGAGTGCAATGGCACGGTCTCAGCGCACTGCAACCTCCACCTGCCAGGTTCAAGCGATTCTCCTGCCTCAGCCTCCCAAGTAGCTGAGATTATAGGTGCTCTCCACCATGCCTGGAGAATTTTTGTATTTTTATTAGAGACAGGGTTTCACCATGTTGGCCAGGCTGATCTTGAACTCCTGACCTCGTGATCCACCTGCCCCAGCCTCCCAAAGTGCTGGGATTACAGGCGTGAGCCACCACGCCTGGTCCTTTCTCTATCTCTCTTTCTTCCCTCCCTCCCTCCCTTCCTTCCTTCTTTTCTTTTTTAGAGATAGGTTCTCGCTATGTTGCTCAGGCTGGCCTCAAACTCCTGAGCTCAAGCGATCCTCCTGCCTCAGCCTCCCAAGTAGCTGGGACTACAGGCCAGCACCACTGTACCTGGCTTTATGTAACTCTGCAAAACTCCTTCCTACGCGTCATTCCTTGGGTCCTCTCCATACCTTTTACTGCAGGCAAGACCAGAATTATTCATGTATCCACAGTCATGGAAACTGAGGCACAGAGAAGTTAAGCCACTTGCTTGAGATCACAGTGAAGGAGGAATTTGGAAGCAAATTGAAGATGTAAAACCTGGGCCTCCTGACTTCTACATACCACCATGCAGCGATTTGGATCTGAAAGAAAGCACACAGCTCACGCCAAGACAGAGCAGCAGTGTCTAGCTATGCCCGCTTGCCTGGCCCAGCCCCCACCTGGATGCCACCTGGCAGTCACATGCACATTCATCACGGAGGAGCTGGCCCAGACTCACACATTATCCCAGAGCTGACTCACGCTTTGCAGGAGGGAGAGTGCGAATTGGTTGAGAGCCGCAGGGGCCCTTGCTTTCCACATTAAGACTTGAAATTCATGCCTCACATCCATGACAGTTTAGTTCTTTAGAAAGCACTGTGAGCTGGCTGGCTTTGGGGATCTCTGGACTCACAGAAGAGTGATTTGGTTCAACTCTGGGCTCTGTTACAAGTTGGCTGGGTGACTTCAGGCAAGTCATTGTCTCTCAGTCTCTTTAGCTTTATAACAAACCGCCAAGACTCTTCAAGCGTCTGAAAGGCTGTTCTTGCTCTGGGTTGAGAAACCTCATAATAATGCATGTGTTGCTAATTTACTATGTCCCAGGGAAATGATTGGTATGGAGTTATTACTATCTCATTTAATCTCCCAATGAATTCTAGATTTACTATTTTATATCCTGTTTCTCAAAGGAGGAAACTGAAGCATAGTTTCAGAGTGATTTGCCCAAGGTCGAGCAGGTCAGCAAGTGGCTGAGCTAAGAATTGAACCTAGTTTGTCCCAGACTTCATATAAAATCTGGTCCACACCTTTATCCTGCTAGACCTCAGTTTCCTCATTTAAAAAATATTAAACTACATAACATAAAATTTACCATTTTATGTATTTTAAGATTATAATTTGGCTGGGTGCTGTGGCTCATGCCTCTAATCCCAGCACTTCGGGAGGCCGAGGCTGGTGGATCATGAAGTCAGGAGTTCGAGACCAGCCTGGCCAACATAGTGAAACCCCATCTCTACTAAAAATACAAAAATTAGCCAGGCATGGTGGCTTGCGCCCGTAGTCCCAGCTACTTGGGAGGCTGAGCCAGGATAATTGCTTGAACCCAGGAGGCAAAGGTTGTGGTGAGATGAGATGGAACCACTGCAGCCATCCTGGGCAACAGAGCGAGACTGTGTCAAAAAAAAAAAAAAAAAAAAACTATAATTCAGTGGCATTCAGTGCCTTCACACTGTTAGGCAACCATTCCTGTCATCTGTCTGCAGAATTTTTTCATCGTCTGAACTCACTCAATAATAATTCCCCATTCCTTGTTACCCCTAGTCCCTGGCAACCCCCATTCTACTTTCTCTGTGAATTTGACTACTCTAGGTATCTCATTTAAAGTTTCCTCATCTTTAAAACTACAATAATAGAGATCAAAAAAAAAGATTTGATCTTTCTCCCCATGGTATGGTTGGCTCACACTTGAATTTACGTCCTGGTTTTTCCATTCACCTACCCCTCAGGCAGGTTGCTTAACCCTTTTGCCTCCCTCCTTTCCATGTTTCTAAAGTTGGGCTAGTGGATACTGTTGGGATGATCACAGGAGACAGTGGGGATGAAAGTGATTGGAAAACCCATCACCAAGAACTTATGCCATCTTCCTGGTGGGCTGGGACCCTGGCTTAGATTTGTAGGTGTGATAGCTGAGGAGGCTTTAGAATTTAGCATTGCACATTACAACCTGGCAGGTGACCAACCCGACATTCACTGCTGAGGCTGGGAGGTAGAAGCCACATCATGGAGGGCTTTGACTGCTTGGCTATAGAGCGCTCCCCTCAAGGAGCTTACCTTCCAGCCTGTGCACCTGATATTGTAAAGGGGCTGGCACAGTCTCTACTTACAGAGGGTGCTCAGGCAATAGTCTGTCCTGCGTGGTTCTTTTTACCGGTTCCCAGAGGCTGGGTCTTGTGGTTGAGAGTTTTATCTTCCCTATTTCCTTAAAATAATGATTGTTAGGATATTTTGGTTGCAAGTATCAATACATTTAAACCAGCTGTCACTAAAAAGGGAGAATTTTTTTTTTTTTTGAGAGGAAGTTTCAGTCTTGTCACCTAGGCTGGCATGCAATGGCATGATCTTGGCTCACTGCAACCTCTGCCTCCCAAGTTCAAGCAATTCTCCTGCCTCAGCTTCCAGAGTGGCTGGGAATACAGGTCCCTGACACCACGCCCGGCTACTTTTTATATTTTTAGTAGAGACGGGGTTTCACCATGTTGGCCAGGATGGTCTCGAACTGCTGACCTCAGGTGATCCACCTGCCTCTGCCTCCCAAAGTGCTGGAATTACAGGAAAAATGGAGAATTGAATAAAGGATATAGAAATCGGGTGCGCTGGCTCACACCTGTAATCCTCGCACTTTGGGTTTGCCAAGGTGGGAGGATTGCTTAATCCCAGGAGTTCCAGACCAGCCTGGACAATATAGTCAGACATCGTATCTCAAAAAAAAAAATTTTTTTCCACACCCCACCCCCTCAAAAAAAATTTTAAATTAGCTGGGTGTGGTGCCATGTGCCTACTATAGTCCCAGCTACTTGGGAGACTGAGATAGGAGGATGGTTTGAGCTTAGGAATTTGAGAATATAGTAAGCCGTGATTGTGCCACTGCACTCCAAACTGGATAACACAGCAAGACCCTGTCTTTAAAAATATTAAAAAGCCAGGCACGGTGGCTCACGCCTGTAATCCCAGCACTTTGGGAGGCCGAGGCTGGTGTATCACAAGGTCAGGAGTTCGAGACGAGCCTGGCCAACATGGTGAAACACTGTCTCTACTACAAATACAAAATTTACCCAGGTGTGGTGGCACACGCTGTAATCCCAGCTACTCAGGAGGCTGAGACAGGAGAATAGCTTGAAGCCAGGTTGCAGTGAGCCAAGATACTGCCATTGCACTCCAGCTCTGGGTAACAGAGCAAGACTCTGTCTCCGGAGTGGGGTGGGGGGAATATATGTGTATATGTATATATATAAAGTTAAAATTGGCTGGGTGCGGTGACTCACATCTGTAATCCCAGCACTTTGGGAGGCCGAGGCTGGTGGATCACCTGAAGTCAGGAGTTCAAAACTAGCCTGGCCAACATGGCAAAACCCCATCTCTACTAAAAATATAATAATTAGCCAGGCTCGGTGGTGGGTGCCTGTAATCCCAGCTACTCAAGAGACTGAGGCAGGAGAATCGCTTGAACCTGGGAGGCAGAGGTTGCAGTGAGCCAAGATCATGCCATTGCGGTCCAGCCTGGGCAACAGTGTGAGACTCCTTGAAAAAACAAAGTTAAAATTAAAAACATAAAAAATAGGCTAGGCATGGTGGCCGGCGCCTGTAATCCCAGCACTTTGGGAGGCTGAGGTGGGCGGACCACCTGAGGTCAGGAGTTTAAGACAAGCCTGACTAACATGGCAAAACCCTCTCTCTACCAAAAATACAAAAATTAGCCAGGTGCAATGGTATGCGCCTGTAATCCCAGCTACTCTGGAGACTGAGGCAAGAGAATCACTTGAACCTGGGAGGCAGAGGTTGCGGTGAGCCAAGATTGTGCCACCTGGACAACAGAGTGAGACTCCATCTAAAAATAAATAAATAAATAATAAATAAATAATTTTTAAAATGTATTTAAAATATTTTTTAAAATAAAAAGGAATAAAGGTTACAGAGATGACTCATAAACCAGACTCAGGGATGCAACAAGATGCTGACAAAGATCTGGATTCAGTGAGTAGACTGCCACTAGGATGTTCTACCTTTCTCATCTGTGTTATTCCTCTCTTTCGACACAGATGGGCCTGCTCTACACAGCAGAAAATGATCACGCTGCAATACCAGAGTTTTCATGGGACCATTTCAACAACCGTTAGAAGCTGACTCAGCTGTCTCCTGTCCCTGACTATTCTAAGATGAGAGAAGCTGATAGGAACAGTTTGGTAAGATGTTTGTCCTGAGTCCATTAGGTTATGGTCAGGTGATAGGGCCACAGAGCACAAACAAGGCTGGCAGAGCCCCACTGTGGTGGGGATGGGGTGGAGGAAGCATGTGTTTCTCCTGATGTTGTCACACAGGCACACATCCATTCATTAAAAATTTGTTGAAATCTGGGCATGGTAGCGGCTTATGCCTGTAATCTTAGCATTTTGGGAAGCCGAAGCGGGCAGATCACTTGAGCCTGAGTTTGAGACCAGTCTGGGCAACATGGCAAGACCCTCTCTCTATGAAAAATGCAAAAATAAGCTGATCGTGGTGATGCATGGCTGTAGTCCCGGCTCCTCAGGAGGTTGAAGTGGGAGGATCCCTTGAGTCCGGGAAAGGGAGGTTGCGGTGAGATTGCGCCACCGCACTCTAATCTGGGTGACAGAGCAAGACCCTGTCTTAAAACAAAACAAAACACAAAAATGTTGTTGAGTGGAGATATTACATTCATTGCCACAGTAAGAAAGTCAAAAAGTAATTTTGAAGGGAAAAAACAGGTTGCAGAGGAATATGTTTATCACATTTTTAAAAGTAAATATACATATGTCATCTATTTGGACTTCTGTAGATATATGCGAAATATGAACCGAAATGAACTGTGGGTAGCAGAATTCGGGGTAATTATTATTTTCCTTTTTGTAACACCTGCATTTTTCTGCAATGAACGAGTATCAGTTGAGTAATAATAAAATAGTTCTTACCTCCCAGGGCTACGGTGTGTGTTAACTAAGACATTTATTTACTTATTCTGTAAATACGTAGTAAGTACCTAGTACATGACGGCATTTGTGGAAGCTGCATAATGACTGACCAGTGGTGGAGGCTCAGTAAGTTGGAGTCACTTAAAGCTCTGCCTTCCAGGAATGCACAGCGAAGCTGGAGGCTCCACACAGCTGCTGCTGCTCTTATGGTCTGTGTGCATTCTGAAAATCCAGGAATGCAAACAAGACGCCACGACTATCTATTGCTGTAGAGTAACCATGTCAGGCTGGGTGCAGTGGCTCATGCCTGTAATCCCAGCATTTTGGGACCTCAAAGTGGATGGATCACTTGAGGCCAGGAGTTTGAGATCAGCCTGGCCAACACAGTGAAACCCTGTCTCTATTAAAAATACAAACATTAGCTGGGTGTGATGCCACATGCCTGTGATTAAAGCTACATGGGAGACTGATCACAAGAATTGCTTGAACTCAGGAGGTGGAAGTTGCAGTGAGCTGAGATCACGCCACTGCACTCAAGCCTGGGCAACAGAGTTAAGGATCTATCTCAAAAAAAAAAAAAAGGCTGGGCGCAGTGGCTCATGCCTATAATCCCAGCACTTTGGGAGGCCGAGGCGGGTGGATCACGAGGTCAAGAGATCGAGACCATCCTGGTCAACAAGGTGAAACGCCATCTCTACTAAAAATATAAAAATTAGCTGGGCATGGTGGCACGCGCCTGTAGTCCCAGCCACTTGGGAGGCTGAGGCAGGAGAATTGCTTGAACCCTGGAGGCGGAGGTTGTGGTGAGCCGAGATTGCGCCATTGCACTCCAACCTGGGTAACGAGCGAAACTCCGTCTCAAAAAAAAAAAAAGAAAGAAAAAAAAAGTAACCATCTCAAAACTTAGTGGCTTTAAACAGCAATAGCTTATTATTTCTCATGATTTTGTGGATTGACTGGGCAGGGCAGTTCTGCCCTATGTGGTGGCAGCTGGGGCAACTCATGCAGCAGCATTCAGCTGGACACATGACTGGACTCTTCTCTCCATATGGTGTCACATCCTCCTCTGTCTCCTGAAGGATAGCCTGGGCTGCCTTACAGCATGGTGGCTGGGTTCCAATGAGGAGTGTTCCAAGGGGACAATTCCCAATGTGGAAAAGCTCATCAAGCCTGGTTGTATCAATGTAAATCATTCTGGATTCAAGTTGCTTTGTTTCTTGATCTCATATGAACATTCCTGTGTGAGTAAATATTCTTCCCGAGGTGATTTTTTCTTGTCGTTAAAGACAGGCTCTGGCTCTATGGCCCAGGCTAGAGCGCAGTAGCTTAATCGTAGCATAATCATAGCTCACTGCAGCCTTGAACTCGAGGGCTCAAACGATCCTCCTGCTTCAGCATCCCATGTAGCTGGGACTACAGATGCATGCTACCGTGCCCACCTAATTCATTTTTCTTTTTTTGAGATGGAGTCTCGCTCTGTCACCAAGCTGGAGTGCAGTGGTGAATCTCGTGGCACACTGCAATCCCGTGTTCAAGCAATTCTCTTGCCTCAGCCTCCCGAGTAGCTGGGATTACAGGTGTGCACCACCACACCCAGCTAATTTTTGTATTTTTAGTAGAGACAGGGTTTCACCATGTTGGCCAGGGTGGTCTCTATCTCCTGACCTCATAATCCTTCCACCTTGGCTTCCCAGAGTGCTGGGATTACAGGCATGAGCCACCACGCCTGGCCCATTTTTTTTTTTTCTTAAGAGAGTGTCTCGCTATATTGCCTAGGCTGGTCTCCAACTCCTGGGCTCAAGTGATCTTTTTACCTCAGCCTCCCTAGCAGCCGGGACCACAGGCATGTGCCAGAACACTAATTTAAAAAAATTTTTTTGAGAGATGGGGTCTTGCTGTGTTGCCCAGGCTGGCCTGATCTGAAGTGATCCTCCTGCCTCAGCCTCCCAAAGTTCTAGGATTGCAGATGTAAGCCACTGCACCCGGCTCCCAACATGATTTTTAGTGGCTAACAGATAGCCCATCATTGATTGAACCAATCCCCTCTTGATGAATTATTAGGCAGTTTTCATTTGGGGGCAGTTATAAATGACTCTGTGAAAGACAGTGCTGTGGCAGGAACTCAGTGCATATCCTTGTAGGAGAAGGATTACAGAGCCAAAGGACAGGTGAATTTTTAAAGCTTTGCCAAATTGTCCTTCAAAAGAAAATGGTACATTTTACACTTCTGTCGGCTGTAAAGAGACCTGCTCTTTCAAAATCCTCTGGCCAATACTGGGTGTGGTTTGTTTTTTCAGTCTTTGTCAACTGGATCAGTGAAAAATGGTGTCTTATCATTGTCTTCAAAACAGAGAAGATTAGAAGTAAGTCACCCGGAGCCAGATGCTTAAGAAGAGTTCTTGTCTTTTACTCTGAGGTAGCCTGAATAAATCAGCAGGGTCAAGGCCAGAGCCGTGTAAAGTGTCTCTCTGCACAGTATCAGGCTATTATGCACAGTGTCTCTCTGTCAGCTGACTCAGGCTGTAAAACTGGAGAGCAGCGCTGACAACCATGCTCATGGCTGTGGGCCTTCCGGCAGGCACAGGGCTCATGGCCTCGGCCTCCACGCCCATGTTGGCTCTCACCTTGTTCCCTCTGACCCACTCCGAAGGACCTGGTGCTGCATCTGGGCCAGGCTGGCTGTAACTAATAATAAGAGTTGTAACAAGGAACATATAAAGCGGGACCTGAGATTGGTCTTTGTTTTTGAGCAGCCAAAGCCATACCTCATAGTGTCAGAAATTTAAAAACTGAGAGATCCTTCTTGTATGGAAGCAGGGCTCCTGAACCCAGAGCAAACCCTGCTTCTTCCTAGCTGTGGAGCAAGTAAGGGAGCTTTTCTGAACCTCTGTTTCTTCATCTGGAGAATGAGGGTAATGGTGATTTAGGGACTATTATTATCTTTTTCCTCTGTGCCTGATACTTGTGATTCTCACAGGAACCCTAAAGGCTGAGAGTATCTCATCCACTTTACAGGCAAAGTGAGGCCCAAAGAAGGGAAATAACTTGCCCAAGATCACACAGCAAGTAAGAAACAGAGCTGAAGAAGAGCTCAGCTCAGCCTGGAACCACGCAAACTGCTGTAGGCTTTGCCAAGGATTGATGAGAAAAGCAGATGGTTAAAAGCACCGGAACTCCTGTGAGTTAAAGAATATCTGCGAGGCTAGGTGTGGCAGCTCTTGCCTGTAATCCCAGCTCTTTGGGAGGCCAAAGTGGGTGGATTGCTTGAGTCCAGGAGTTTGAGACCAGCCTGGGCAACATGGTGAAACTCTGTCTCTACCAAAAAAAAAAAAAAAAAAAATTAGCCAAGTGCGATGTTGTATGCTTGAAGCCTTACTACTCAGGAGGCTGAAGCAGAAGGATCCCTTGTGCCCAGGAGGCAGAGGTGGCAGTGAGCTGAGATTGTGCCACTGCACTTCAAGGTATTGTTTACTGCGAACAGAAATTAAAATAAGAAGAAGAAGAAAAGAATATCTGTGATTACAAGATTACTATGCAATTTTGAAAGCCTGCTGTTACCCAGCTGGACAGCTAGAGTTATTCCTAGTGGTGGGATGGCTGGACTGGGGGCCCACTGTGGAGAGCTGGTTTCCCACTGGAGTCCTCTGAAAAGGTGCCTGATTTCACAGCTCCGATTCTACAGAGGGAGGCAAGGCACTTCACGTAATTGCTACCCTTTATTTATGGAGGAATTACTCCGTTGGGGGTTCCCTTTATATGTGAACAGTCTGCCGAAGTTAATTCTTACAGTGATTCTATGCAGAAGGCACTTTAGAGGGGGCTGCTGGGGCACAGGTGGGGCTAGGTTCCAGCTGGTTGGGACTCCACCCTCCTATCATGGCCCAGGACTGAGGCTTTCAAATGGACCACCAGCATTTATGAAGCTCTGTGCCCCATTATCCCATCAGAGCGTCTTCTTGGCCCCGGCAGGCAGAGCAGGGCCACCTTACTGACAAAGAAGCCCAGGAAGAGGAAGAGGGTGCTCCCCGCACAACCCCGTTGCCTCTGCCTGCTTAGTCCAGAATTCTGGATAGAGAAATAATGAGAAAAGCTCCCAAGTGTTACTGGATTTCTGCCTGCCAGGGAAGCTGTGACCTCAGTAAGGGCAGGGTGTTCCTTCCAGGGAACTCGAGGTGGGGCAGGATGGGTAGGGAGTGAGATCAGAGAGAAGCCCATGTCGGGAAGAGGGGAAGGCAAGTCTCTGGGGGTTTCTGGGAGAGAGGAAGGGAACAGGCCAGGAATAGGGGCTTGACCTGGAGATTACTTCGAAGCAGGTTTAAACAGGGGCCATGTGGGAGTACGGAGCCCTGGGGTCAGAGATTACTGGATGCAAATTATGACTGCCACTTATGAGAACGGTGAGTTTGGACAAATGATTTCCCTGGACCTCAGTGTCTTCATGTATAAAAGGGAAGAAGCCCAGTGGGTAACTGGACTACTTCGTGGGTTAGATCCTGGCTCCATCACTTGCCATTGTGACCTAGGGCAAACGAATTCTTTCATACCCAGTCTACGGGCCTTGTCTCTAAGATGAACTTGGTAATAATGAAACCTATCCCTCACAGGGCTGCAATGAGGATGAAGGGTCTGGCAGCACATGGACAATTCTTAGAGCAGGCTTTTCTCCTGCAGAGTCTTTGCTGCTATTATCATCATCCTCATCATCATCACCATCTACCTCAAAGGATTCTTGGGGGGCTCAAACAAGGCAGGTTGTACAAATTGTCTGGCACAGACGTCATTAAATGGTAACAGTGCAGAGTGACAGGTGCTGTGATACGGGGAGGTGCTGGGAGACACAGAAAAGAGAAAAGACTTTTGTCTGGCTGGGTGGAAGAAGGGTGTGGAAGGTGTGGAAGCCAAGGGAAACTCACTTTGCCCTCTGAAGGTTCAATGAAAAATCAACTGAAAACAGGCAGATAAATAGAAGAATTGGCGTGCAAATGTATTAATGTGCATACAGGGAGAACTACAGAGTGATTACTCCTCACCCTCCAATGGGGTGCAGAAGTACATATGTCATCTTGAGGTTACAGGAAGAATTGGGGGTTTGGGGCTGGGCCTGGTGACTCACACCTGTAATCCCAGCACTTTGGGAAGCTAAAGCCAGTGGATTATCTAAGGTCAGGAGTTCAAGACCAGCCTGAACAACATGGTGAAACCCCATCTCTACTAAAGATGCAAAAAATTAGCCCACTGCAATCCCAGCTACTCAGGAGGCGGAAGCAGAATTGCTTGAACCCAGGAGGCAGAGGTTGCAGTGAGCCGAGATCACGCCACTGCACTCCAGCCTGGGCAACAAGAGTGAAACTCCATGAAAGAAAGAAAGAGAGAGAGAAAGGAAGAAAGAGAAAGGAGGGAGGGAGGGAGGGCGGGTGGGGGAGAAGAGGAGGTCTCCCTAGCAAAGGTGGTCTTGTGTAGATGAAACCTCACAGGTAACAGCCGAGAGAGTAGACCTTCGAAGGTGTCAGACTCATCAGTTAGTCTGTCCTCTATCTGACAAGGGAAGGTTGGAAGAGAAAGCCTGGCTGCATTAATGCAGATGTAGATATCCCCTACGAAAGACAGCTTTGCAGGCTTACTTCTGTTTCCAGGCTCTCTGAACAGCCCTCGCAAAATACATTAAAGAAGTATATTTTGGGGTGAAATATTTTTATTGCCTGCAAAGTCTTCCCAGAGGAAGTGGCATTTCAGCTGAGCCTCAAAGGACATATAGAAGTTTCCCATGTAGATGAGGGGAACACAGAAAGATGAACTTGTATCATCTTTGGTTGTGAGAGAGCCTGAATGTGTCAGAGGAACATGGAGCAGTTTCATGAGCTGCATGCTTGGGGTGAAGGGCGTGAGGCTGCACAGGAGCACTGGAGCCAGATTGCAAAGTACTGGGAATGCCTTGCTGGGGGCTTTAAACTTGACCTGGTAGTTGAGGAGTTCTTACCATCTAAACAGCAGAATCACCCAGGGCACTAAAAAAAATACTGTTTTATGGTCCTGCCCAACAGTATTCTGAGTCAGTAGGTCTCAAGTGGGACCCAAGAATCTTCACATTTTTCCTTCAACTTTTATTGGAAGTTCAGGGGTACCTGTGTAGGATGTGCAGGCTTGTTACTTAGGTAAACGTGTGCCATGATGATTTGCTGCACAGGCCATTCCATCACCCAGATATTAAACCCAACATTCATTAGCTATTCTTCTTGATGCTTTCCCTCCCTTCATCCCACCCCCAACAGACCCCAGTGTGTGTTGTTCTTCCCCAGGTGTCTGTGTGTTTTCACCATTCAGCTTATAAGAACTTGCAGTGTTTGGTTTTCTGTTCCTGCATTAGTTTGCTGAGGATAATGGCTTCCAGCTCCATCCATGTCCCTGCAAAGGACATTATCTTGTTACTTTTTATGGCTGCACAGTATTCCATAGTGTATATTACCACATTTCCTTTATCCAGTCTATCACAGATAGTCATTTAGATGGAAGAATCTTCACTTTTTAAAGGTTCTCAGGAAATTCTGATGCCCACCCAGAATTGGGAAGCCCTGCCATGGAAGAGGGTGGGGGATATCTTTAAACAGGAATAGGGTCCATTGAGATGCCCACCCTAGACCTCCAAGATTTGGGCAGAGAGCTTGAGAAGGGAAGTGGGTCCAGGAGACTCTGACCCCCAGCCTTCCACCCCTTTCCAAAGCAGCCCCACACTCTGATGGCCATATTTACCACCAGGGCCTGCCTCTGGAAGTGCCTCTTCCCCATGGCCCTCTGGCTCCAGCAAGGACAGGCCGCCTTCCCTCCTTCCCTCCTTCCTTCCTTCTTCCCAGCAGGTTTTGAGCTCCCCCAACCATGTGCCAGGCTGTAGGGTACTGAAGGTGAATAAAATAGGTATTTTCTCCCCACAACCTCCTGACCCAAAGTATTGGGTGAGTCCTGCTCTTTCGGCTCAGCTGAGCATGAAGTGCTATGTAATCAGGAGTGTGGCTAAGCACGAGAGCTGGGACAGGAGTTCACCCTGGGGGCTCAAGCAGTGGCCCCCAGGTCCGGCCTCCAGGTCCTGTGGCTTCCTGGTTCCCCCTTTCACAGGCCCAGTCTCTTGTCCTGGCTCTGGCCTTGTAAGCCAAACTCCCAGGCGCTGCCCTCGGTGCCCCCTTCCAGGAGGGTCCTGGTGCTGGGGTAGGAGCGAGCTGTGCGGCTGCCTTCCCACCCTCATCTTACACCGAAGACAAGAGCATTGGGTAAGGCCTGAGCAACTTCCCAGGGGTAGGGTTAAGGATCATTTCCTCACAGGGGTAGTAGAAACAACAAACACGAGGAAATGACAGGGATGCTGAGGATTTCAGAGCACACAGCTCTGGTTCAGGACGGACTCCCACAGAGAGATGGGGGGAACGCTCTTGGGGCAGCTTCCTCACCTCCCTCTTGGAATCGGCTCTTGTGTCTTCATGCTGTGTTCTGTTGTTTCCTTTCGTCAGGATTTCTTGTCCACTCCAACCCACCTACACCGTCACCGATGTCACTGGTTTACTGGCTCATCGCCATTCGTTTACTTCTTCCTTTCTCATTCAACACATAGGTTCCATGTGCCAAGCACAGGGTAAAGCCATAGGCAATATACAGCCTCACATGGAGTGCCCAGTCAGATGGGGTCACCAACACAGTCAGACAGCTCTAATACAACACGATAGTTGCCACTCCGGATGTTATTAAAACCCACACAGGGCTTATAAAACCAAAGAGTAACCCAGGGAAGGCTGATTCTTGAAGAATGAGTAGGAATTTAAGGAGCGCCTGCCAAGCAGTGAGAATAGAAAATGCAAAGGCACAAAGTTTGTGATGGCTACAGCACGGTAGGTTCAAGGGAGCAGAGGGAGTGGAGGCTGGTAGATAAGCAGGGACATCCATGAAGGGCCTGGAAGGCTGGGCTAAGGAACTAGAACTTTCTGCCTTAGGCAGGGATCAGCCATTGGAGGATTTTAGGGAGAGAAGGGACATGGTCAGACCTGTATCTTTTTTATTTTTTTTGAGACGAGTCTCGCCCTGGCCCCTAGGCTGGAGTGTAATGGCACAATCTCGGCTCACTGCAACCTTCGCCTCCTGGGTTCAAGGGATTCTCCTGTTCTCCTGCCTCAGCCTCCCAAGTAGCTGGGGCTATAAGCGTGCGCCACTAAGCCCAGCTAATTTTTGTATCTTTAGTAGAGACAGGGTGTCACCATGTTGGCCAGGCTGGTCTTTAACCCTTAACCTCATGATCCACCCACCTTCTGCCTCCCAAAGTGCTGGGATTACAGGCTTGAGCCACCACGCCCAGCCAGATCTACATCTTAGAACAATGCTATGGAAAAGTTGGTCGTGGGGAATGGGTGAGAGAAGGAGAGGTCAGGCAGAGTGTTCAATAAAAAGGGCTGGACACAGGCCGGGTAGGAGAAGCCAATGCCTAACCTAGGTCAGGACAGGTGGCTCAGCAGATGTGAGCGCCTCTCAGTGTAAGGGCTGAGGTGGGAGAGGGGCAGATGGGCTGTGGAGCTGGCCACACTGCAGGCAGTTGGCTGTTTCCAGGACTCAGGACCAAAGGGAGGCTGAGTCAGGAAGGCACTGCTGGGCTTTTGGCGTGAGCAGGCTCAAAGTCAGCAGATGCAGCTGGGTCTGTGTCTAGGGATAGGGAAGGTCTGCAGCAGGACTGCAGCCCATACCTAGGAGTCAGGGCAAAGTCCAGCCTGGGGAAGAGCCCCCAGGAGCCAGGCCAGGTGTCAGGTGGGGTCCCTGTCCTGAAGAAAGAAGAGGCTGCTAGGTAGAACACCTTTGGCACCTTTACGTCTCTGGCCACTTCTCTTCTATGGCTCCCTGTAACAATGAGACATGGACATCTGGAGGCACCTGGGGCCAGTTTCTTCCTCATTTGCGCTGCTCATATGAGGCTCCCTTTAGGCTCCGCATGTTGACTCCAGTTACAATCTGATCCTGAACTGGGAACAGGGGTGTCCTGTTCCTGGCTCCAAGCTCCTGGCGAGGATGAACTTGGGTTTGGCTGCACCTGCTCAGGTGCCTTTGGAAGTGTGCTCACCTCACCAGCCTCGACAGAATGCAATCTCAGGATGACGTATTTCTCAGGATGCATTTCTAAGGAAATGCCACCCTGAAGTATGTCACTTTGGACTTCAAACTGACAGCATTTGAGGAACAGCAAATAAATATAGGGAGGGACTTTCTCTGAACTTCCTTTATCTGCTTCAAGATAAATTCTCCAAAAGGAAATCAGTGGTTATAAATCTCCTTCCCAGGAAGTTCATCAACCAGAGAAGAGTAAACTCAGGTCACAGGACAGGAGACTGGGAGTCAATGCCACCCCCAGACAGACTTTATCACCTATCACCTATACTTTTGAGGGCCCATTCATCTTTCCCCCAAATCACTTATTCTCTCCTATGTTGCCTGAATCCTCCCTCCGCTCCCCACTGTAAGAGGTCTATATGCTGTCACTGAGGTTTTGGACATTGGCTTTTCTTTCATGTGATGCCCTCATGCCTGTAGTACATTTGTGTGCCTTTTCTTCTGTAACCCTTTCTTCTGCTGTCAGTTTATTTCATAGAGTCAATTATTGAACCCTCAGAGGGTAGAGGGGAAATCTTCCCTCCCCTACAGTGATGCTCTAGGGCTACCAGACATCTGGTGTCTGGCAGACACCAGAGCTGACTCCCAAGAGCCCATTTGGGCAATTAGTCACTCATATGATAAACATTTTAAACATTGTTTCAAGCCCCCAGAGCGTGCCAGTCCTTGGACTGAAAGCTGGATTTACAAGGTCAAATCAGATTCAGTCCTTGTGTGATAGAAGAGTTCATAATACAATGGAGCCAAGCGCATGAAACGTAACACAGCCTCTAACAGCCCAGCTGGACAACCTCACACACCCCAACACAACACGGCCTCTTACCACTCAACTCGACACAACAACCTCACACATCCCAACACAACACAGCCTCTTACCACGCAACTCGACACAACAACCTCACACATCCCAACACAACACAGCCTCTTACCACTCAACTCGACAAAACAACCTCACACATCCCAACACAACACAGCCTCTTACAACTCAACTCGACACAACAGCCTCACACATCCCAACACAACACAGCCTCTTACCACTGTAGAATCATAGAACCCTAGGACCTTAGAACCTTAAACATAGACGTTTATACATATATATAAATATAACGTGCACCAGACTATTAGCTAGAAGAGTGGGGAAGGGAGATCTCCCCGTTCCTTCAGATGGAGGCAAAATTTCCTCTAATGCCTCAGTTTCAGGGTTGTCACATTCAGTTGCTCAGGTTGTACACAATATGCCTCTGAAGAAAGCCAT